GGAAAGAATTTTATCTGTTTATAGCTTTTTTAAATTATTTTGTTTGATAGCGTTAACCAATCATTTTTAATAATACTAAATATATATATATAAAAAAAAAAATTATATTCTTAAACTAATGAYTTTGTACTTATGTTAWCTGAAAATAATAAAAATGCTGTGAAATTTTGTTAATTGTACCATAAATACAGAGTGAGTAAGTTTTCCCGCACAAAACAGTTGTTGCTATATTGTACGTTTGTAAGACGGGGATAACGCATGCGCGAGTGATCCTCATCTTAACCGAACTAGTTGCTATTGAACTTCAGAAGATGATATCGACGGGCAAAATTGTAACCTAAGTATGCTTTGGTTACAATAATCGAATAAATTTGTTTCATCATAATATAGGAAATATTATTATTTATTTGGAACGCGGACGATCGAAGTTTGTACATGTAGAATTTTCTAAAAATAATATACGTTTTCGCGTTCCAATGTTTTGCTATTTCTTCATTTTTATTTTTTGTTTTTACTTTGCACACACGCACTCGCTACTACTTAATAATATGATATATTATATTTTTATCGATTATGAAACAAAAAACTTTTGTGGAGTGGCGCCCGATTGTCTTTATATTATTGTGGCTTTATATACGTATAGAAAATATGTTTTTGACTTTTTGATATTTTGACTGTATAGTTTCAGCTGAATTAAATAATATAATGTGTATACTGAAATGCTATTTGTTACAAATTTACAATAAGGTAAAACATTAWATTGCTATACAAATTCACAGCCCTGCAGATAACTTAAACTAATGATAATATACCTACTTAATTTTAAGAYAACACTAACCACTGACCATTAATTACTCGAAAACAACCACCGAAATTATTGTCATATGGTATGATCACAATTACGTTTAATAACAACAATGATAAAAATAATTGACTGTAAAGTATTATTATCAGAGCCGCATTTAACGGGGGGCAWGGAGGGGCAACTGCCCAGGGGCGGCAAATTTTATGGTGTTTGATAGGGCGGAAAATTTTTAAGGATCAACATAAAATAAAAAATTAAGGGTAGCATATTTCAATTTGCCCCGGGGCGGCAACATAGCTTAACGCGGCACTGATTATTATGTATTCACGATTATGTAGAATACAATATAATATACGAGTAATACACAGTTATAATATAAAACCATGCAGATATTGTTTAACCTGACCGTTGTATGTTCTTTATTTCTTTTATTTCTTCATATTTTATTAATTTATTGCACTGGTATTTGGTTATAACATTGATGACATTTTCGCAAATCACATGCATACTGTTGGTAGGTTCACTTTGGTTACATTAAACTATTATAGTCATTATATCGCTTATTGAAAATGATTTCTTCTCATCTGAATTTCAAACAACTATTCACATTACATTTTGTTATTTATTTTATTAGGTACCTATATTTACTTATATGTAGTGTTTACGAAAAACTGTACATCCGTTGAACTATAAAAAAGCTTGGTCGCCTTTGAAACTATAACCTTTAACTGTAATTCTGTGTACTAAAGGCATCATCTCTCCTCAATTTATTAATTTCGTCAAATATATCATTATAATCGTATCCATTAYTGATGAGTAATAGATATAGATAGMTATAGAGATAGCATACCTTTATTAATATCATTAAAATGTTCAACATTGTATTTCGATATTAGTTTAATTAATGTCTTAATATTACAATATGAGTTTGTTCCCATTATAATATCGGTTTTCCTAATTTAATAGTTATTAATTTGTTTGTATTTTAAAATATAATTGTCGTAACTAATGGGATTATACAAAGTTACTTGAATAAAAAAATAAAATGTGGATCTACTATATGAAAGTTGACGATAAGAATTATAATATTAGTACATCTGCATTTGAAAAATATTATATCAAATACTACTCTTAAAAAATGGTAAAATTGTTCATTGGACATATTTATAGCTAGGTACATACACCATTCCATATTAKTGATATTCTAKTTAACATAATAGTAATTAATGTGATTTAAATCTTTTCCAACATGATGTATTACACTGCTGGGTGACTATATATAATATATACAGTGTGATGTTCACTGATTTAGGGAACACTGAATTTCTCGGCCGGATTTGTTTGGTRTAAGTCGATTTTTTTTACAAATTGGTGGTATATGAATACACATTTTTCGATATATTTAAAAARWTTTTGAGAATTCGATTTACGCATGCGTRGTAAAAACTTTTTTTTAAATAGCAACACCTATTTTTAACACCATATTCGAATAGAGCTATTTTTTTAAAGTAATTTTCATGTATCAACTAACTGTTGTAAATTTAAACAATTTATTGTGTAATTATAAAATAACTATTGTACACTYTTGTACCAGTTGTACCTAGTCGATTTTTAATAAATAATGTTGTATCCATATTATGTTAGTCTTGTTTATAACATTTCTAAAAAAAAAATACGTACAAATATTCAAAAAGTAACYAATAAGAATTAAATATTAATTATAAATGTTTAAAAATGTATTATTTAATAAAATTGGCATGGCTCTTATTCAGTCAATATTGAACTTAGAGCCATAGTTGATGCATGAAAATTACTTTAAAAAAATAGAATTATCTGAATGTGTTGTTAAAAATAGGTGTTGCTATTTAAAAAAAAAGTTTTTACTGCCCATGCAGACCAATTTCTCGAAAAATTTTGAAATGTATCGAAAAATGTGTATTCATATACCACCAGTTTGAAAAAAAAAAATCGATTTATTCCAAACAAATCCGGTCGAGAAATTCAGTGTTCCTTAAATCTGTGAACACACTGTATATATATATAGTACCAAGCCTTAGTGCCTTAGTGTGTAGCTTTTTGTGTAACTATAGATATACTAATATTGTACCTATACTTGAACGCCGTTTCTATACCCTTTTTCCTTTCCTCGTATCGAAATGTCGTATTTTCGATTGACTCGTAAGCATGCAATATAATAATAATATGTGCTTTGGTTCATATATATAGTAGTATGAAAGCTTGCTAAAACGAGGATACCTAGGAATCATTGAGCTTTCAGTCGATCGATCGTTCGCTATTGTATTTCATTTTGATTTTCGTGACGATTTCGTTATGTTATAGTGTCGCATTCAATATCACTTTCTGTATATTTTCTTTTTTTCATGTGATATTGTACCTGAATACCTGAGGGAGTAACTGTGTTAGTATTACTTCCCCGACAGTCACATCGATTATTGTTACAATTAGTCTTTAATCCTATACAGATTTTTTTATTCTACTCACAACACATTCTATAACAACAGACAACAGTTGCTACAAAAACGTGGTTCCCAACATTTAAATACCATAGTTTGTTGGGGTAGTCTCCGACGATTGGACTAACTGGATACGTATTAGACTAACCAGTGTCCGCCACCCTCGAAGTCTCCCACCGTTCTCATCCTCTTAACACAGTAATATACCTACGATTTTGTCAGAACGACATAATATAATATAATTAGATACTATACAAATTACGGAAAGATGTGAATTTTTAATTAAAAGATTTAATATCATTGTATAAAAAATCTTAAAAATGTTTGTTAAAATATGCTAAAATTATTTAAGGTTTGGTATTTTTTTAAAGTTGATGGTGTGAAAAATTGTGTGGACACAATATACCAGAAGCAATTTTATATTTAATCGACTGGTTTGAAGAAAAATATAGATAGATCATAGAAATTGACAGAGAAATACAAGTCGTCAAATCTCGTTAAAATTGATGAAGGAGTTCTCAATAAAAATGATAGGACTAAATATAACCATGGTGAAGCAGTGAACATGAGCTTTAACTCATTGAACAATAACACATGCTACATGCTATCACAAGGTTTCATTTAATACTTGAGAAAAATAATGTGATCGAGATATTTTTTATTGTCAATTAGAAGTCAATACAAGAAAAATAGTTAAGTAGGTACTTAATAATATAACGGTAGTATGGTCCATCAGCCAAATTCCTGGTGTAAGACTTGGTTCACAAGTTTTGAATTTTTGGTGACCAATTGACAAACATTGTGTTAATTTTTTAATAATGTTTAAGTTGAATATTTTTAATTTTAAATGTGTTTGACTTTGTAGGTTAATTAAAAATTTTAGGCTAATTGGTGGTACATTAAGATGTCTAGTGAAAATTAAAAGTTAATACGTACTTACCTCGAATTTAAATGGTTACGCCGAAATGTGCATGTTTGATGGTTAAATAATAATAATATAATTACTACGCATATTATAGTATTATAATCCTATATTTTTAATCTATATTTTGTTACAATKTGTAATGTATAAACTCTAAACATTGTTCGCTAAGGTGGGCGCATAAAATATTATTATAATATATAGGTAGTTTATGATTGACATTTTAATACGTTTGTGAGTATATCTTTTGTGCGGTTCGTGCATAGGARCAGAAAATCGATTCGAACAGTATGTAAGTGGGGAAAGGGTGCGCGGAAAACGCAGTGGATGAACGTTTGCATATATAAATCATAATTTGTATGGTAGGTATATTAAGCATTTAAGCGAAGGGCATGAGTAGGTTTTACCATTAGGAACAAAGGTGGGTATCAAAAGTTTTGTGTATACATCTGTAGGTACGATAAATAATATTTTCTCTATACTTTGAAAAGTTTTAAGTTTCGTGTAACATGTTGTTTCAAATATTTTGTTTGTTGATGAATGGTACTTAATATTTTTGTTTTCATAAAACATTTTTTTTCCTTTAAATTAATAATAGGCATGTATAATTAGTATATTGTGTACTATATAATATAATACTCGTATATGGTTAGATGGTATTTAGTCATATTTATCAGAGCCATATCACCATATATATAATATATATACAAATATTATAGTGTATAGTATATATATTATATAAATRCATATAACTTTATGAGTATAAATAGATAAAATAAACACAGTATGAATTGTATACATATAAAACATTTTTATTAMAACAGTCTTCTTACAAAAGTTTTCAATTAAACAAAAAATCCGTGGACTATAAAAAATTTATAATATACTTAAAGTAGTAGCCCAATTACGACTATACATAATAATATTATAAAGATGTATATTATGCTAATTTTGTGTCTGAATCAAATAAATATAATATTATATTATTCATAAAAAGAAATAAAATAAAAACATTTCTCTTAAAGGGATTTTGGTTTTTTGTTTTTGGCGAACTTCCCCAAAAAATAAAAGTAGTTAAAATAAAAACAATAATAATAATAATAATAATAATAATAAGTAAAATAATGCTGGAGTACCCCGATTAAGCGTCCAGATATCATAATATGTATGTATACGTTTATAATACGTATAATAATATGCCATAAATGATGACGTGCGCGGCATAATTCCACGAACCGGCTCCTCCCACCTCCAACCCACAAACACATCAACGACGTGTCCCACATCAAAGCTCGTCGTGCTTGGGCCCGGTGAACTCATCATGCGATATGAACCCGTTCTTGTCTTTGTCCTCGTGTTGGAATATCTCCTCGACAAGCTTCTCGTGGTCGGACATCATCTGCTTGATGTCATCACCACCCTCTGCGCCCTCGGCCGCTGCCATCTGCTTCTTCAGATATTCGCTTACCTCGTCCCTGGACAGCTGTTTGTCCTGGTCCTGGTCGATCTCCTTGAACACGTTTGTGGTAGGCGCCTGGTCACCAATGTTCAACAGCTCGACGTCGAACATCAAAGTGGCTCCTGTACACATTACAATATTATACTTATTAGAACACTTGTGCAGTGTTATAGGCGAGCAGACGAAAATGTGTTCATGATATCAATAGTAAAAATAATAATAAGTATTTACTTCAATATGACCAAAATAAGGCATTGTTAATATCATTATAACTTTTAAATTTTTGGAGGGGGGGGGATGCTCGAGGTTTTCAAAACTAATGTTGTACGTTATTGGATTTGCTGACAGAATTGGTCGTATATACAGCGTGTAATATTTTTAATAAAGTTTTTAAATGTGATATATTTTAAGGATTAGTTTAGATGATCGAGTGGATTAATTAGATATTATCTCTTTTTACTGACAAATATTTTTTTCTTCATGTAAAATACATCAAACTATATAACATATTTTTTAACATCACAAAATGTACTGTGGTATATTTTCGCCCACTTTTATTGTAATCAATTAAAGTTCCTTTTCCAAAATAAGCTTACCGCTGTAATTAAAATTCGTTGTTGTAATTATAGTATATTTACGTACCTATATAAATCACAGTACATCTTTCTACATATAACATAATATATTAATACAACATCACGCGTACAAGGAAATTAAGGTAAATTAAATACTTTGCGATCAGAATACTTTTTTAAAGATGTAGAAAAATATTATATTCATAGGGCAAATAAATCATTGGATTTACTACGACACAGTTAATAGTTATAAAATATGTGTTTTACTAAGCAAGTAATTAAAATATATTTTTATTTCTATTCCGCCGATCTTTTATGTAATTTTTTAGTTTTTCGTTTTTAGTTTCAATTTATAATTCTGTTTAAAGGGATTTTTTTTTTTAATTGTTTTATTTTTTTTAAAATTGTTTGTAGTGTTTTTATCGCGTGTTTTACTTCAGAAGGTATTTCTGTTTAACGCGCACAATTCAACGATTTTTTTGAATAAAATATATTATTTACACAACATTTGTGATATTTATGTACCTAATCATATTGTGTGATTATATAACACGTGGGTTGTATCTAATGCACATGTTTCATTCTATAAATATATACCACAGATTATCATTACGATCTATACGGTATAATTAAATTAAGCTTTTTTAAAATACAGCGCGGCAGTGATGTATTTAAAATATTGTTGATGTTTTCTGCACAACTTTACGTACCTCCGGGGATGACATTTCCGGCTCCGCGGTCACCGTACGCTAGATTGGCTGGTATGGTCAACCTCCTCTTCTCACCGACGCACATTTTGGTCAATCCCAAATCCCATCCCTTGATCACTTGTCCCACACCCAGTTGGAAAGTGAATGGCTGGTCTCGGTCGTGACTGCAAAAAAAATAATAAAAAAAATAAGAACGTATTACAATCTGCAAATCTCATGAATTTTAAAGTACGCACAACGTTATATAGCATAAGGATAGGTAGGTACATATTATAATTTTTTGGTATTTTTGTTTTCCAGAAAATAGAAACTCGCACACATTTGCTGGAGTAAGGTTGTCGTACGCGCGCATGTCTATATAAAGAATTCATCGGGTGTGAGGGCGAGTTATATATAATATATATATATATATATAAGTAAAAGTGGCGGTCGAAATACAAACCACGATACCCCAAAGGACCTTTTCAGTCTGCAGGGGCGACCGCGTGGATATAATTAGTACATATATATAGACGTGGTGGCGGCCTCTTCATCCTATATTATATTATGGCCATGCCAAACTTTGGCTATTGTGAAGTTTTTTTTTTGTTTTTCTCCCATTTTTATGTTCAAACTTTTAACGTGCGGACACCAAGAAAAGACCACCAAAGGAGAAAATAAAACGAAATTAATTTTTTCGCTTAACCGCGRGTCAGAATGTGAGCCCACATATACTATGTAGTAATTCGTACACTTTCTGCTGCTGCTGTGTCGATAAACTTACTAAGAATTGTATTTTTTCGCTGATCGAAATCTATATTAGAATATATACTATATAGTGTAATATACTATCAAATAATAGTAAAGCTCATAGAATCTATAGAAATGAAAATCTCAAAATATGCATCAATATAATTATATAAATTAAATGTTAGTATAGGACATAGGTACATACAGCTTTAAAAGAGATAATCCAYAATAATATTTTATTGTTGTGAAATATTGAAGTTACCATGTTACTTTCTATAAATGAAGTATAACCACAGTAAATKAAAGAAATATTTAAAACAGTGTGTTTACATYTCATATACCTCACCCCTCTCTTGTACTCCCCCCTAATAATATACTTATACATACTCATACCTACCTAAAGTGATAAGTATATACGCGTAATATTGCAACACATATATATATGCGTATATTATATGCACCTGAAACGGGACCACTGACTTTATTATTGGCTTGGGCAGGGATGGGGGAGTCGAGCGAATATATATATATATATATATAATACATCGGACGAATAATAATAATAAATATAACATTACACGATGTATATACTATATAGTTTATTTTTTATTAATATTAAATCACTGCAAAAGTTGGCTGTGACGGACCACGGACGCGATGTGGTGGGCGCGTGTGACGTATCTGCACGAGTTTGTATCCAAAATTATACTAATCAACCACGAGTCGGCGATGTTGACGGCGAGAATATGAAGTCCTTTTCTAAACGTGGCTGTACGTATTATATGCGTGAGAGGATATTACCTATTATGCAGCGCGAAGTCCACGCGAGTTGGCCCAGTATATATTATACCTATATGGTGGAGAGAGGGGGGGGTATGAAAAACCGGACGAATCGCCGCGTTCCGGGTATATTCATTTATAATTGAACGCTGGACCGGAAACGAGGTAACTTTTCGCGTGTTCCGCAAAAACTATTTTTCGTCGTGGACGCGCGGCATGTGTGTATAACGAGTTCCCGGCTTTCCGCCRCCATAGTGTTGATTAAAACACGACGCGTGTGTTAAAAGTTTATATATACAATATATACATATACATACATATATAGCACATCAGTGACGTAGTGCGTGGGCGAATGTGTATTGTATAATATTACTATGCTTTGGAGTGGATTCGTAGATTAACTAATAAAAATCGACAGATGAACTATAATCGATAATCAGTCTTGTACACGGGAATAGAATAGTAGACTGGCATTATAGAATATCGTGTTAAATTATAAAATATATTTAAAGGTCCTACGAAATTGGATCATGGTTGCTGTTAATTAATATAGCACACTTTACGTGTCACCTCCTCATATACAATAAACGATAAACATCTGCTCTACAATAAAATAATACGATTTTACTTCCTATAAAAATATGTTTGAGGCTAGAAGGATAGTAGTTTCGTGATGCTGATCGCGGTTGGGGACAGTATATAGTAGGTACCTTTAATATTGTCTTAGCTCGAACAMACGATAATTTCGTGTATTACTGTTATGTATATACATTATACAAGACGACTACGACAACTATTTATTTTTTTGTTTTTAACATACAAGCTCCGATATATTATAAATTACATTGGAAAGATACACCTCCCCTCACCCCAACCATACGTCGAGATTTCTTGAGAATTTGATTACCCAAACCGTAATGCGATGTCTTTTTAATTTTTTTCTCAGCGTACAATATAATTTACCTATACTCAACGTCAACGAAGACAGTTTCGCGTCGAACGAGTAAAATAACCACTGACAGGTGATCGCTATCATATACATTAGTRATATACTAATATGGTAAAAAAATTGAAACATACAATCGCGTGATTTATATTATGAATAATGTACAAATACATAACATATTATATTACTATGAGAATACAGCAACGCAATAATTCAAAATGTAYAACCCGTTATATATTTGTTCGTGTAATAATTATTACTCGTCATCTATGTATATTGTATACTTTACGGTCTATTTTTATCGAAAACTGTTGATTTTTTGCGTGTACTAACTTTTTATTTTTTTATCATTTTCGGCAAACACGTCGTTACCTATAGTGAAATATATGTATAATGTTTAATGTATAAATATGTCAGCAGCAGGAATGTAAAAAGAGTTCGATAATTTCCATACAAAATGTCAGACGACTGACAACGTTTTAAAAACGAGTTGTCGGCGTTTTGTTTGTTTTTTCTTCTTCTTCTTTCTCCTGTCAGGGAGGGTGCGAATATATTATGCCGAGAACATATCATATGTTATACCTATATGAAGCAGCCGGTACACATATTATAAGTATATTATTATTTTATACAGACGGGGAGACTGGGAGTGTGGGACACGCATTGGGGAAATTTTAATTGAATAGATTTTTTTATTATTTATTTATACGCGACACGCGTAAACACTCTTTTGTTTTAACCCTCAAAGTGTTCAAAACGACAACCACAACAACAACACATATTAACAATAGATGTAATAAAAACATCAGCGAAYATTTTRTGGGAATATAAATAATACGTGTAATGACCAAATCTTACCTCAAAATAATATCTGCAGATGTGTTATACAATTTTTTACGGAAATTTTATGTACTTCCTATAATATTCATTATATGTGTATACATATACAATATAAGTAATATAATGTATTATGTATATATCATACAATTATCATAATATATTATGCTTGTTCTAAAAATGAATAGCCTAATGGTATATTACAATAATAATGGCGGTATATACTGATAGTATAGTTGGTATACTTAAAAGTTAAAAGTACAAAGATGGTTATAACATAATTATATTGTAAACATAAATTAAATTATGATTTATTACATAACTTTAAAAWACTATTACTTATACTTTCAAATGCAATATTTGTAACCTTGGGCTAAAGTCCGTATTTTTTAACATAGATAAATGAATAATTGTTATAATGCACTAACCCCATCAACTGTACTGATTTTAAAACGAAATTGTTGTATCTTCTAGAACAAACCGGCTGAAATCATCATATATGAAGTATTTTATTGAATCATGGCTCATAATGCTTGGAACGGTTAGATAATTTTGTAAACAAATACGAATTCAATCAACCTAATTGATATTATATAATATATTATATTTTTATAAGAGTGTAATATGTGTGTTGGCTGTGACGTTTCGTGAATTTATCGAAACGTCTGTAATTGTCAATAAACCATAATGACATATATATATATATATTGTGATAGTTTATTCGGTTTATTGTTTATGTCACGCGAGATCATATTTATTAAGTTTAAAATATTTCGTTTTATATGTATTTTTTTGAATTTAAATTACTATTTAAAAATATTACAAGTGTAAATGTATAGTAAGTACACAGTTGAAAATACATATATTGATATTAGAGTGGTTGTTAAGAGTGGGAAATGACGAATGAAAATAAAAATGACTTCCTACCTATTTTAAATAATCAACTTCACAACCACACGAAAGTACACGGTTCTGCAATAACCGCCGCAACTTTCATAATTATAAGAAAGAAATTCTAAAAGGTTGTAAGGCGTAGACGACGTTCACAAAAAGAAAAAACACTTTACTTTGAATTGCACCACAAGCGGTCGTTTACGGTGAAAGAAAATAAAAACTCTGATAATTTCTTAACAAAACTTGGTTTTCGAAATTGTTACTTTTATACGWCATCGCGTTTTATTCCTGAAGTTCTATTATAGACCAGTTACACCGCAAACACGATTCAAATGATTTCGGACTAAAACAATATTTCACCAAACATGGGCGCCAGACGTCAAAAATCGTTGTACGTCCTGYAGTAATTGTTGGACGCTGTTCGCGCATAATTTATTGACGACACATAATAATTCACAAAACTAAAAACAGCAACGAGATAAATAATTGTATTTTACATTATTCGRCAACGTGTCGTTATGCCGCGTTCATATTGTATAAATTATGTAATTCAATAAAGTCCTGTGCAGTGAATATATTATATGAATTCGGTTATTGTYGCGTAAGTCACGTTAAAATATATAATTTTAAGGTGATTAAAAAATGATTTATCTGCACGTGAAATGTTTTTTTATTTATACACCTATATATGTGCGCTGTGCTAAATAATATGTACCTACGTTATAAAGTTATATAAACTATAACAACTTATAAGTTATAATAATTCACAGAGTACCTACATATTAAATAAACTCGATATAGGGACCAGGTACCTATATATATTACTCAGAATTGAGAAGTAGTTTATAATGATCATAAAWTACGAATACGTCATTTATATAATCATTTTCCACTTTACCATTCTGAGTAAAAAAAAAAAATTATTGACAACGCGAATTCATTTAATAATTTTTTTTTCCAGAAGTCTATTCATTACAT